AAATGATATGTAATAAAAACTTTTGTAAAATTTGATAATTTATTCTGAAAGTGGTCGGACACTAACTTTTTTCAAGGTACAATTTTTTTGGAAAACGAACACCCACCAACCCCCCTCAATTGCATGCACTATCCCCGTAGCCACCACTCCCAGTACCACCACACATGGGACGACACACCACTTTCGATAACACGATACCTGTTTCGTCTCTACATGAGGCATCCACAGGTGAAGCTGTCTCTGCGGTGACTGAAGGCTAAGCAAGCGACGAGCCGAAACAGTTGCTGTTTATACAACTCGCTGATCTACGAGTTGTATAAATAGTAGCGTGTGGAGAGCGGAGAGAGTGCTAGGACTGCTGGTGACCAGCCTCTCCAGAGTCTACTTCATCTGAGGATGTCTCGTGTAGAGGCGAAACACATGTCGTATTATCAAAGGTGGTGTGTCGTTCCTAGTGTGGTGGTGCTGGGAGAGGTAGCGCTGGGAGTGGTGGTGCTGAGAGTGGTGGTGCTGGAAGTGGTGGTGAAAGGGATAGTGCACGCAAATGAGGAAAGGTGGGAGGGTGTTTGCTCTTCAGACTGTGTGTCCTGCCTAGCAGCAGTTTGAAATGAGCAAATTAAGTTGTAACAACTTCAATATAATGGATTTCCGCAAAGTAACGCCTGATTCTTTTAATCATCGAAAAAGTTAAGCAATCGACCAAAAACTGACGTGGAACTCTCACCTTAGCCACGTATGCCATACGCCTAAAATTGTTTTATATGTGCAGTCATATGGTTAGGAACAACTGGGGCTTGCGTCCCAGTATAATCCCCAGTATGCGTTCCAAGATGCATCCCAGTATGATCCTATGGTTGTACAGCAGCTTAGTGAGACCGATTATCACCTACGCCTCCATTGTCTGGTGTAATAAGTCCAACCAAAAGACGACTGCCGACAGACTAAATAGTTTACAAAGGACTGCTTAGCTTAAGGGCAACTGGAGCGAAGCGATCATCTCCTGGAACAGCTCTTAATACACTTCTGTCCCTAGCAACTCTTGATCTTTATTTAGACCTGGAGGCGGGGGCTTCGTTTGTATAGGATTAACGCCAAGAGCGGTCAGCGCTTGCTTTCTTAAAAATTGAGATCCATGCTCGACTCAATTACGGAAACACGGGTCTTATGCATGATCACAGATATCATTCATCCACTATACACTTAATAAAAAGTATTTAGTGGAATTACCCTCCAGAGAAGAATGGCTGAATGGACAAGTTATCTGTGAGGTTGGTAGCCTTACATGGTACACCAATGGGTCAAAAATGGGCCTTGACGTAGGCTTTGGAATTTATGGAGAATGCCCCAAATTCAAACTTTAATAAAAAAACAAATAAAATTATGGTAGATTCACCTATATCTTCCAGGCAGAAATTTTCGTCATACTTCAGTGTGCGGAAATCAATCTGCAAAAACACTACGTCAATCATATAATCTATATAAACTCTGATAGTCGAGCAGTACTGCTAGCGCTGAGATCAAACTTAGTGAACTCGAAGCTAGTTGGAGACTGTGTGAACCATCTAAACATCTTGGGATGTAACAACAGGGTCGTTTTATGATAGGTTTCATGCCACGCAGGTATTGTAGGCAACGAACTTGCAGATGAGCTGGCCGGGCAGGCCGTAAAGATCACACAATTTGGTACTGAGCCATTTTGTAGAATCTTAAAAGCCTAGCCCGATTGACCTTTGAAACTCTATCTGGTCTGATACACCCGACTTAAGCCTTTTAAAACCTTAATCCGGGCTTTTGGTCGTAAATTGGCTTCAGAAGCCCTGGGAATAGGTAAAAATAAACTGCGTATTCTGGTAAGAGTCCTGACTGGACACTGTTGTCTTAAAAAAGCACATGGCCATCCTGGGACTAAGCGACTCAAAGATGTGCCGGTTTTGTTCCTTAACGGAAGAAACGCCTCTGCACATCCTGACTGATTGGTGACCCTTAATGCGCAAATGTAACACATTTGGGAAACTATCTACTTCGCCCAGAAGAAGTGAAATTGCTCACAGCTAAGCAACTCCTACTCCTACTCCTGGTTTGCATACTATGGTGTTATTATGTAATAACATTACTAAATGTGTAAACAGCACTTTGTATCTTGCTGACTATACCTGTACTATAATTATAGCTAAACGGAAACAAAGTTTTTGCTATATGTTGTATGTTATAAGCTGTACTGAGATGGGTGGTGTTACTGTTGGTTTGCATACTTTGGTGTTATCATGTAATAACATTCCTAAATGTGTAAACAGCACTTTGTATCTTGCTGACTATACCTGTACTATAATTATTGCTAAACGGAAACAACATACATAAATATTCACGCCTGTCACCCAGAGGGGTAGGCAGAGACTACAGACTTCCATTTGGCACGATCCTGACACACCTCTCTCGCCTCCTTCACATCCATACACCTACGCATACATGCTTGTCAGTTAAGAGTACTCCTAATTTGGCCCGTTTTCAATAAATCGCCAATTTGGTCCATAAATTTTCGCCTAGGACGTCCCTTTCCGACTCTGCCATTCACTTCTGCAACATAAATTTTCTTTGTCACTCTTTCCTCATTCATTCTTTCCACATGACCAAACCACCGAAGCATTCCTTTCTTAATCCTGGTCACAACATCATCTTGCAAACCACACTCTTCTGTTATTACACAATTTCTTACCCTGTCATTCAGATTCAGCCCTAACATACTCCTTAACGACTGCATTTCTACTGCGTTCATTCTACTCTCGTGCTTCTTCTGCCACACCCAACTTTCACTACCATACGTTAAAGTAGGGACCAACACAGTATTGTGAATTGTCATACATACCTTTTTCGACACATTTTGACTCTTCACAATAGAGTGCAGGGCCCCATTTACTCTATTTCCCGCATTCACTCGTCGTTCTATATCCTTATCATATCTTCCATCCCTGCTAAATACGCAGCCCAAATATACAAACTCATCTACTTGCTCGATCAACTCCCCTTTTATTCTTATTTCACAAATCGTTTTACTTTCTTCTCTTTCAAAAACCATAAAACCTTTGTCTTACTTGCGTTTACTTTCATACCCCTTTCTTTTAATGATCTGTTCATTAATGTAACCATCATTTGCAACTCGGCCGCCGACGACGCAAGAATAACTTGATCATCGGTGTACAAAAGGCATTTGACGGTTAACTCACCCATTCTTAATCCGCATTCTTCAACTTTCAAATTTTGCAAACAACTGTCCATAAATAGGTTGAACAGCCACACAGCCCTATCATAACAGAGAAGAAACTCTATCATATCCAGCTGCCTTACCTGCTTTCATGCTTTTCATTGCTTTCATTATTTCATCTATACTTATCTCGCTACCTCTTTCCTCTTCTTTCGGAGTTTCTAATTCACTTAGTACACACATTGTCTCCTCACTCATAAACATGCTTTCAAAATATTCCTTCCATCTCTTTAAACTCAAAACTTCATCATTCAGAATATAGCCATTCTCGTCTCTTATAGCATTCATCATAGGCTGTTTTGAATGTCCCCTGGCAGTTCTTACAAGTTTCCAGAACATTTTAATATTTGTCTGGAAGTTATCCGATATTCATCTATCATTCTTATCCGTTCTTTCTTGCTTTTTTCTTTCAACTACTTCTTTTACTCTCTTATTTAGATGTCTAAAGACTGCCTTGTTTCTTTCAATATCATCATTCGTACCGTTAGAATTACCAGCCTTTGTTGCTAGTAAATCTAGCCATGCTCTCTTCTTCGTTTCAACTTCCATACGTATCTCATCATCCCACCATAACATATTATTTTTCCTTTCATTCTTTCTCTTACTAACACCACATACTTCGGTAGCTGCATCCACTAAACCTTTCTTTACATTTTGCCATACATTCTCCAAGTCTAACTCCTTCACACATAATTCATCCAAACCACTTATATTTTCTTATATATTTTTTTTCTTTACAAACGGAAACAAAGTTTTTGATATATGTTGTATGTTATAAGCTGCACTGAGATGGGTGGTGTTGCTGTTGGTTTGCATACTTTGGTGTTATCATATAATAACATTCCTAAATGTGTAAACAGCACTTGTATCTTGCTGACTATACCTGTAGTATAATTGTCGCTAAACGGAAACAAAGTTTTTGCTATATGTTGTATGTTATAAGCTGTACTGAGATGGGTGGTGTTGCTGTTGGTTTGCATACTTTGGTGTTATCATGTAATAACATTCCTAAATGTGTAAACAGCACTTTGTAACTTGCTGACTATACCTGTACTATAATTGTCGCTAAAAGGAAACAAAGTGTTCGTACATTAAAACATTTAAAAATTTTCCTATGTTTCTACTATATATTGGGAAAGACTGTCATATCTTGGAATCTTCTATTTCTATTGCCCAGAAGTTAAATTGTTCCAAATTAATAAAGAAATTGCAAGCTCATAAGCCATACAGCTGGCCACCTAGGCTTTTCATTAAGTTTGTTGTTGGCAGTTCTTTTATCTTTTTAATACTGTCTGCAGATGAACAGTTTAAATAGAGTTTTCAAGCAAGATTATCACCATATAGAAACACTAAGGTTTTGTATTTAGAGGGGCGCCACTATGAAATCTCGTACCACCCAAAAATTTTGCTAGAGCCACCACTGTGTACACACACCACAAAATAATTAAGTACCATCTAAATAATATCCATATAATTACCTGTGAAATGATTTCATCTATTATATGTGTGAGCGAGTAAATCGGCGAAGCCTTCTGTATAAATTTCATGAGTATAAAGATAAGTTTCACCAGCAAGATATGTATATAACCATAAAGAACACGTAGTGTATATTTACAAAATTTTCGACAAACTGATAAAAGGTGAAGTGAACTCTCTGAGCAACATAATATGCCATAACTAAGTACATTCACAAATAACTGCTTACTTTCGAGGATATATTAAGTTTACAAGTTATACTAACCGGTTCTTTTGTTAACATAGATTTTACTGTCACCCTTTTTTTCATCTCCAGAACATATTGCACATTTTGTTGTAAAAGACGTATAGCCATCCTGAACAGCAAATCCCTTTTGTCTTAACAATTTGCGAATATCAGTAACTGTGATTTTAGGAATATCGTTTAAACCCACACTATGTATGTCATGTTTGATGAAATTACAATAACATAGTTTTACATGCGTTTTCGATATGAAAAAACGATACGCTTTTAGAGGTTGTAACATAATTATCTAATGTAAAATAAAACAATAATAAAAACATAACCTAAATGTTTGTTTTTCTACAAAAGACATTTGACAATTTGAGATAGTCACTATGGAGTAATGGTGGTTAATATAGCGCATAGCGCCATATTATAGCGCGCTATCTCTCCATAACTATATATATATATAATTTAGTGTTAGACCACGGTAATTTTATCTATACAGTATTCAAACTCCATACAAACGGACGAAGCGAGAGCTATGCCTACGCGCCTCGATCTCGGCATGCGCTCGGCATGCAGACAGTCGTGACTGCCGCAGTTAAGATTTTGTGGAAATATATATATATATATATATATATATATATATATATATATATATATATATATATATATATATATAAATGGAGGAAATAAATAATAGAATAGAAATAAAGAAACAATAAATCCAAACTTCATTTAAAATCAAACATATAAATTGTAAAATAGCTGCAGGGATCTCTAACCTAGTAAAAATATTCCTTTTCTCTACCTTGTCCATGTTTCACAAAACAATTTTTAATTAAGCTTTATATTAGAATGCGGACTTTTATACTTAAAATTTTAATAATAAAGCATTTCGTACGTCTCAGCCGAGGCGCAAATATTTTTCGGTCGCAAATTTATAAGACCGAGACACGCATTTTTATTGTTATTCAAACATAAACATGATTTTTTAATTAAATCTACCGATCAAAAAACGACACGCATTTTTATTGAACTCACAAAGTATCTATTATATTTGTTTATATAAAAAAGTATATTTACAATCATAAAAATAAATGGAAACACAAATTAAGCAAATGTAAAAATGCTGGAGGCAGGCAGCCATTTCGCATGTTTACGTACCGCGCGACTGTAGGCATTTGTTTCAAAGAAACAACAACTTTAAACAAATTTAAAGACCAACAACACATCTTTGAATTCTGTAAAATATTACCTGTATATAATAAAGTAAAGTATATATTACTTATTGAAAATTATTTTAATAAAAATATACAAATTCCAATACAATATAATTTTAACACACGTCAGTCAAAGAAACCTACCTTAGCATTACCAAAATACATAAATCTATATGGAAAACGAACATTAGAATACATGATTCCCGATATCATAAACAAACTTCCATCACAACTAAAAAAAAACAAATTCATCAACGCAACATCAAAAATATATTAAAGAATTAAAAGAAAAATAAAAATAATACATCGTAAGGTACACATTGATGCTCTTAAAAGTAATGTTACATATACAATAATTATTATTAATATAAAATAAGTTTATCTTTAATATCTTTAATTAGTATCAAATTAGGTATATGAACAGCCGGTAGATGCGAACTCGACGCGTCAAGCCAGGTAGGCAAATAACGCCACCGAGAGCAAACCGGTTTATTGACTGTAACGGGAGTGCGGTTTAATGCGTGCATCACGACAATAAGATGTATGACATAATTATTAGGCATAATAATTATCATGCTATATATGTATAGATTATGTTTATACTGTGAAATACCAATCTAAATATTGTTAAATTAATTGTAAAAAAAAAATAAAAAAATAATATATGTATATATATATACTTTTTTCGCTTGTCCATCCCTATGACTGAGTACGGGCGTAAAATCAGGGTGGTGTAATAACTGACGTCCCTAAATAGGGGCCACGCCCACCCTTCATTCAGGGCCGTAGACAGATAAACCTCTGTCTACGGCCCTGTTCAGGGCCCTGATTCAGGATGGTGTAATAGGGCATAACAACTAAATCGTAGACAGTCTCTCTCTACGAACTATGGAGTGTAGAAGTAAGGAGTACCAACTCCCATAGTAGAATAGTTAAAAAAGTGGTCATCTGTAAGCAGTAAATAACAGTTCAAAAACTCTCCACAACAGCGCTGGTATAGCTACTGGGACGAAATGAACTTAGCAGTTTCGACGGTTTGAAGTGTGCTGCTAAACTGCTCAGTAGCTCTAAAATTTAAAATAATTTTATTTAGTAAATATAGCCTCGAAAAAGTCGTCTATCCCACAAAAATTTTTCGGTGCGTTCTTTAAAATTTACCCCGTAGTTATATAGTGGCGCTACCTTATTTAAAGGTTTTTACGGACACTTGAATGCACAGTATGTACTCCTTACTTCTACTCACAAACTAATAAGAGTACTAACGTACTTCTACTTCTATACTCCATAGTAAAGTTGTTCAACACGATTATAAATCAATAGCACGCTACAGACTATAAACTATAAATTTGTAGCGCGCTATTAAATACGTTACGTTATAGCGCGCTATTTATAAGAAAGCGTGTAGGAGGCCGGCAAGCGCGTTAAGTTATGCAGCACACTATATCTCGTAGCACGTTACATTAAATTAATGTCGTTCATTGCATAAACCGCGTGCTATATAAGAACGTTATTTAGTAGTAATTCGTATTTTAGACTAAAATAAAATAAAGAGGTAAAGAAAAACCACTGAATGTTTTTTCATACTTTTCAGGCTTACGACTTTCTATAATCCTAAAAATATTTTTGAGGTATGTACTTTTTAAAACGAAATAAAAAAAAATATTTTTTATTTTAATTGATGTAAGCGTTATTTTAACCTTAATATAATTTATAAATCAAATAAAGGTGTATTTAAAAGTTTATTGATTGTATTTGTAATAATCAACTATTTACATACACTTTTTTTTCTTCTTTTTTTTTTAAACTATTATATACACTTTTTTATCTATATTTTATTTACATTTAAAAACATTAGTTTGGCTTCTTTTCATTTTCATTCACTTATAAATACCTACAGTATACACTAACTAAGCAACGTCTAACACTAAATTAGGTCGCGCGCGATGAATAGCGTGCTACTGGATCAAATTTGCGGGTCCTCTCCCAACAGCGCTGCTATGACTACTTACAATCTGGGATATTTTGTATAATCTTGTAATATCTCTCACTATTTGTATACAGGATGTTAGTGTAAACACCGTTATCCTTGTAACTAGTGGTTTGGTTTCACTTATAGAACGTAAATTCAATAAAAATAACAACTTTTTTTTCTTTCTCAATTTTTCCTTAATTCTTCAATTTTTACCTGTCTTAAGCGAGGACGAAAGTATGAAGGAAATGTTACATCACCGGTTAAGTGTACCTATTGTGTTTTTATTGGAATATTGTGTAGATAGCTAGCGCGGGCGGTGATCTCTATCCATGAATTTACGGACGGTGTCGGACAGAAACTTTTTAAATTTTATGAAAAAAAAAATAATAGCGTATATATTTATAATATGTCGTCACTGTCACGACTGGACGACAACACGTTCACCTTCCTTTATGAAATTTCCTACTATATATCAGCTATCTACTATCAGCTGCCTCTGATGCCACACCGGCTCTAAACAATGTACCCTTGAAATGAGAGGCCGCCAAAAGTGTCTACGCAAATAGCATCCCACACTAGGGCGTTACCTCTCTCCCAAGTGACCAAAGTGATACCGTCGAGTCTCTTGCCATCATCTCTAAATATCCCATAAGGACGGAAAACCGAAAGAACATTTATAGCCTTTCGGATGGCTTCGTTCAAAGAACCGTGACGGAAAAACCTACCTACGTTTTTCTTATGCGGTCTCCAGACTCCTGTGTGATTCACGGCGTGAATTCACGCCGTAATTTTGCCGCGAAGTCGTCGCGATAAACATAACCCTCCACATTCGCAATCGTTCACAGTTTAGTTTGCGCGCTCGTCGAGAATGGACGCTGAAATATGTACAGCTATCGCAGTGACACTATGCGCTTTGGCTCATGACAATTACGTGCAATTATATAAAAGATAACAAACCGTATTTGTAGTTTTTTTACAATTATCGCTTTCTCCTAGAAAATCATCGATCACGTCAAAGGCAATACAAATGGGCTTGTAAATTTTGTCGCTGCTTGCTCCAGACTTCTTTTCAGAATCCTTCCCCTTTTTCCTATAATTTCTATAACTGGACATTAGACTTTCGTTTTTTTCAATCAGTCATTTCAATGTTTTTCGTGGCAGAGCCATGCTGCAGTTATATTAGTAGTATAGTTGTAGCACGAATGGGTCGGCTCGACCGGGGAAGGACCACTCTCTCACAGAATACCAGCGTCAAATAGTAGCTTAATGCTACTACTACTACTTCGTACGGTGAGTGTAGAGAACCGCAGACTCTTTTTACAGGAAACGAGGCATTTCATCTTAGTTCTCAGAGAAGACAACACATCTGCATTTTGATTTGTATGTCTACGGGCCGCAGCAACAACTTACCATCAGGTGGACTGTGTGCTAGATTGTTACCCTGTCCTATAAAAAAAATTGCTGTGGCTACATACTCGTATCACTATTTAGACGTCCGAAACAAGAAATTTATTAGAAAGCGTTGAGACAGTGGACAGTGGAAGTGGATATAGTATTTGCTTGGTTAAAAATCCATGTATTTTAGTTCAATGTTTCTCACTACTTGTGGCTCTTGTTTTTTATACACACATGTTGCTAGGATATTCTATATAGAGGAATGTAAAATTAAAATTATAGTATATAAAACTAGATAAGATAGTATAACTAGATAGATAAGCTTTACATTTATAACATTTGATTGCGTGTTGATTTCAACACACTAGCTGTTACCCGCGGCTTCGCCCGCATGGTCACTGGGAAATGAACTATCCATTGCTTTTTGAATTGAAAGAAAACTGAGTTTTATAGATTTGTTAGAGATGCAGCCATTAAAAGGAAACTGAGCAAAATTGATTCGTCAGCCTATTTAAGTGTTTTGAAACGCAGGGTATAGGAAAGCATGAAAATACTCGTAGCCTGTTTATTCCAAATGGAAATGGGATATTTTTTTAATTAAAGGAAACTGAGCATAATTATCCGTCAGGGATGCAGACTTTTGAAAAGAAACTGAGCTAAATTAATTCGTCAGAGATGCAGTTTTCTGAATTGAAAGGAAACTGAGCCAAA